TGGGCCCTTTGTGCTCATAAAGTTTGTCTTTTGCGTCTCTTTGTCGTTGTTTCGTGTCTTTTTATTATAATTTTGTCCCTCTGAGGTCGTTCTGTATTGTTGTTGCATCACTTCTCGGTGGTGTTGTTTCTCTTTTATAGCCGTTCCAGCTGCTTACATAACAGAGAAATGATTTAAAGCTGCTCTAAACACAGAAGTTTACACATCCAGATAGCTTGTAGACACATAAATGTGCCGTCGTACCGACCAGTAGCTGCATGTTTATCCAAAAACACTGAGAAATACGATTAAATCACTGACCAGAACTATATATTTGTAGTCTTTTTGTATAGTTTAGCATCTTTTTATAGTAATATGTTTAATTGTCGTGGTGTTTAATCACTCTGTAGTCATTCTGGACTCTTTGAGCTCTTATTGTGTCTATTTGTGGTCCTTTTGCATCATTTTGTGCTCGTTTTGCATCGTTTTATGCTGATTTTGTGTATCTGTAGTGGTTCTGCATCACTTCATCGTAGTTTTATGTCTTTTTTGTGGACATTACAGTCGTCTTTATAGTCGTGTTTCATCAGTTTGTATTCAATCTGGGGCCTCTTTGTGGTCTGTGTGCATCTCCTCATGGTTGGTTTTGCATCTTTTTAATATATTTTTGCATCTTTTTGGGGTCATTTTGCACATTTTGTGTATCTGTAGATGTTTTGCATGACTTCATGGTAGTTTTGGATGTGTTACTGTCCTTCTCTGGGTCTTTTTATGGTCTTTGTGCATCTCTTTGTGGTGGATTTTTATCTTTTCATAATCATTGTGTGTCATTCTCGGGTCATTTTCCCGTATCACTTTGTGGTTGTTTTNAAAGATACAAAATGGCCTCAAAGAGACACAAAACTGCCACACAGACACACACAGCACCAACATGCTGGTGTCGTAGCTCTGCCACTGAGCTGTGTGTGCGTGTTGTCGTACAGTAAAACCCCACCAGTGTGTGCTTCTCTGCCGTGTTTGTGTATTTGGTGATTAATGGCTTTTGCTAAATTGATTTTCCACGTTGGCCGATAAAGTGTGCTGCGCCGCTCTGTGTGTGTGTGTGTGGACGCTGTGTGTGTGTGTGTGTGTGTGTGTGTGTGTGTGTGTGTGTGGACGCTGTGTTTACTCAGGGCAGGTTAGCTCAGGATATGTTTCTTTTTGTCTCTCCAGCCGACTGCCAGTAAAAATAAAGGCCCTTTTTCTTTTTTCTTTTTTTCCTGCCGCCGCTCTGTTTGAATGTGTGCAGCGTGTAAATGTTGGACTGACATCCTGTCGTTGCTCTGCAGCCCACCGGCTACATGGAGGCGTCGCTGTCCTACAGCTCCATAGAGGACCTGCAGCTGCTGTCCTGGGACAACGCCCCCAAGTACTGCGTCCAGCTCAGCTTCCCTGGAGGCACCGTCCTGCTGCAGGTACGTCACACGTGGTCAGAATGAGGAGGGAGGGTGATGGTGTCGAAAACCAGAGTGCTTTACACACTGTGAACTTTATCAAGAAGCTGTTTTTAGCTAAATCAAGCCGGTGAGTGAATATCTGTAAGAGGTTTTCTGAACCCACACCTCATCATAGCAGCTCAGAGCGACACTCACTACATCTGAACAAAGAGAGTTTCTTACGTGTGAAATCTTAATTATTTGACTGCACGTCTTCACTCCACACCGGATTCACTGGGAAACCATAGTGTTTAGCTTTTATAGCTAAAATCAAGGTGTGAAAGTGTCTTAAACAGCATTTAGATCAGCACACATCCTCTCACAACAAGAGTTTGTCTCATAAAACAGCTACAAAGAGACGCAACAAGACACACAATATTATTTTAGAGCATCACAAACAGAACAAACAACCACAACAGAGCAGCGAAACATGACCGCAAAGACGATAAGTGGGGATTTTATGTCATTTTTCATGATAGTGAGTCTTATTGCCATGTAGGAGACACAACATGACCACTAGCAGACTCAAAATGTCAAAAAAAGAGACACAAAATGACCCCAGAAAGACAAAAAACAACCAGAAAGGTGAAAACAATGATTACAAAATGACTAAAAAGAGACAAAACTGACCACAAAGACATTTAAAACATCCACAAAGGGGCAAAAAGCAACTAGAAAAAGACACAAAACATCCGCAAAGACACATGAAACAACCACAAAGACACACAAACGTAGTGCAGACAAACAGACGACTACAAAGAGACACAAAATGACTAAAAAGCAACGCAAAACAACCACAAAGGGACAAGAAAAGAGTCACAAAATGACAGTAAAGCAGCAGAAAGTGACCACAAACACAGCGTATCTTATGTGTCTTTTAATATGAACCACGGAGACACAAAATGATGGAAAAGACACAACTAATGACTGTAAGGACGCACAAAACAACCACGAAGAGACACAGAAAGCTTTACAAAGAAACACAAAGTGGCCACAAAGCGACAATAAAGTGACTTTTTTAGTCTTTTTCAAATATACTCAGGATTATTTCTGTGTAGCGTGACGAGAAAGAGGAAAAAAAACGACTATAAATAGAAGCAAATTAACAAAAAATGACAATAAAACATGCGTAGCGACCACAGAGAGACATCTGGGTGTTGATTCAGCTTCGGCAGAACCTCCGTGTGCATGTTTGTAAACTGAGAAAGCCCAGTTCTGCTGAGAAAGCCCAGTTCTGCTGAGAAAGCCCAGTTCTGCTGAGAAAGCCCAGTTCTGCTGCAGCCTGTGATTAATAATCAGACGGAGGTCGGCTGCTGGGAACTTTGCTCCTGATTCCTCCCTGGTGACATGTATTTTTATCTGTTTACTTAAATGTGTGGCGAAAGAGCTGCGCTTCAGTTTTCAAAATCCAAAGTATCTCTCGCCTCCTCGTTGTGCTCCTACTGTCAGTTAAAACCCAGAAAATCCTCACGTTTTGCAGCTAAAACCAGATTTTTTTGAGTTAATTACATCACTGAGGATTAAATAATTACAGCTGGTTTCAACAGTTGAACCGGCTCTAAGTCAGCCTGTCCTGGACGCGAGGCCTTGACTCCGTGGACCGACCCTCAGCTCGTTAGCCGTTAGCCTAATTAGCCGCGAGCCGTGATTGGTGGCGAGGGTCAGCTCTGTGTACCCACCTCCTCCTCGTCCTGCTCAGCTGTGTTTGCTTTCCCCCGCTGCTCCCGCTGGAGAGCTGCCAGAGAAAGAAAAGATGTGGCGCTTCTCTGAGGCGAGGAAACCTGAGGGACGGGAAACATGTAAAACCGACCTGAACGCAGATTAAAGACGGTTTGGAGGATCTCAGGAAC